TAACAGTGGCGAAATATACAGCTTAYATAATCCACACCTTTCAAAATTGCTACCAGAGTTGCTTTTCCATTAAGAATTCAATAACCAAAAAAGTACTTTAGAAAATAAGTTGACTCAAGCTTCCTAGGAAGGAAGCATACCATATTTCTGAGCCTTGGAGGGCCTGGTGTGTCTTCAAGGGGAAAGAACTTATGYGAGGAGAGAAAGCAAAAGTGGTAAGAGCTGTCACTGATTCTGAYTGAATTAAGTCGGCTGTGGGTGCTACAAGGCTCCTCACTTGAAATGTGTATTTGTGTGCGGGTGTGCATGCACACGCATGCCATTTGTCAGTTTTTATGGGTTTGTATTAATATAGCTGARAATGCAAAAAGCAGAGACCAAAAGGTATGCTCATTTTTTGTTTTTCTAAAGTCAGTTCGTTTCAGAATTAAGTCACTGACAGGCTGGCATGGAACGTYAGCATGAAGGTTAGGATTTGGAACAGTATTATGGAGTAGTCCTGTGCTGCTTAAACCAGAAGGGACTGTGGTATCTCCTTCACTATAGCTCTGCCTGTGGAATCACCATTTCTACTTGTTTCAGTCACAGAAGCAGGAGTGGGCATTCTTCTAGGCCATTCTGCCTAGCTCAAATAAATTCTCCTGGAAGTCGGGCACGGTAACACACGGTGCAATCCCAATGTAATCTGTGGAGCCTGAGGCAGGAAGATCACAAGTTCAAAGCCAGCCTCAGCAACTTAGTGAGGCCTTGAGCAACTTAGTGAGACCCTGTCTCAAAATAAAAAATAAAAAGGGCTGGGGAGGTGGCTCAGAGGTTAAGTACCCCTGGGTTCAAGGTTCAATCCCTGGTGTACACACACACACACACACACACACACACACACACAAAATCTCCTAGAATCTGTTTGCAAAAAGCAAATAGGATTTTTCTTAAATTCATTTGATCTGCCTCCAGATTTATTTCTTTATTTTGTTGCTGGAGATTGAACCCAGGGCCTTGAGCATGCTAAGCATAGGCTCTATCACTGAGCCACTACCTCAGCACCTATTTTTAAAATTTATTATTATTATTTTAATTTTTATACTACATACCACCTTGGAAGAAGAAAGTCTACAATTTTGTGTTACTCTTCTAAGGAAAAGCAAAGTTGTTGAGGGGCGGGCAGGAAAGAAATGTGAATTTTAAAAACAGATCAACTATATACTTTGGATTTTKTTTGTTTGTTTGTTTTGACAGGATCTCACTAAATTGCCCAGCCTGGCCTCAAACTTGAGATCCTCTTCCCTCAGCCTGGGATTACAGGTGCACTCTAATTAGCCTGGCTGAGAAAGATATTTTTAACATTTTCCTTGGAATAAAAAAACCTGCTACCACAAGGTGGGGTGGCACACACCTGTAATCCCAGTGGTTTGGGAGGCAGAGGCAGGAGGATTTAGAGTTCAAAGCCAGCCTCTGCAAAATCGAGGCACTAAGCAACTCAGTGAGACCCTGTCTCTAAATAAAATACAAAATAGGGCTGGGGTTGTGGCTCAGTGGTAGAGTGCTTTCCTAACACACATGAGGCACTAGGTTCTAATCCTCAGCATGACATAAAGATAAAATAAAGATATTATGTCCACCTACAACTAAAAAATGAATGTTTTAAAAAAATAGGACTGGGGATGAGGTTCAGTGAAGGGACACCCTACCAACCAAACAAAAACAAAAACAAAAAAAMCCCCTGGTACCCTTTTTTATTGGAGGGTCTCTAAAGTAAACCCTTTATAAGTTTTTATTTATCCTGCCTGCCATCCTGGGAAAGRCTCAAGTGTTTGGCTTACCTTACAGTTAAAGAAACAGAGACCCAAAGTTATAGTAAAATTAGGGAATGGATCTGAATTCATTTGAATTATGAAAGTTCCCCTTAAAATTCACCTAAGAATCCTTAGAAATAAGGAGCTCCTATTATGCAAATTTTTATCTCTACAGGGAAGAAATGAAGGGAGAATCTTTGATCAAAGATTTCTCTTTGATGAAAGATTGATCAAGTTTGAAAAAAAAATAAGTGAAAATTAAGCAGAAAGAAGGATAAAGGATAAGGTATTTCTGAAGCCAAAATGCTGAAAGGATAAAACTTGATTTACCAATGTGTTAAAAAATACCATTGCATTTGAAGTTTTTTCATTTGAATACTTTCAGGATTTTTACTCTCCTTAAAATATACAGCAAAACCTCCCATACCGTGTACACATACACATTCAGTGATCTTTTGTAGTGACTACTTAGCCAATGTGAATACTTAGTTCACCGGATTCTTACACCCTAATTGTGGCAAAATTACCAGAATCTGTCTTTTGTTTCCAGATAACTCATTGAATCTCTGTAGAAACATCAAGTTCTTTGAAATTTTCTGAATATTGAGAAATTGGCTTTTATCATTCTAATCCTCATAACATTATCTTCAAATATGAAGACAATGTAGGTTTGTTGTAGCTATCAAAACACTTTTTATYGTAATACCACTATACTCATGTCTCCATTTCCAGTCTAAACTGGTYAAACTATCCCCATCTTTAAATCCCATTTTTTTTGTGTTTCTGTTTCAATTAGGAAGCATTTAAGAATGAATGTTTATCTTAGAGAATTGAGTCACATTCTATGAGATGTCTTCTTCATGTGCATAATATTTTAGACCAAAACAAAGTATCTTTCTTTTACTGTAGAGTTATGTTAGAGGTTATAACTCATGTAGTAATTTATATATTTTGATAGGGATAATTAAGAAAAAAAATCACTTTTGTGCCAAATAAATTTGTACACTCAAAAATTGGTTTAGTTATTGTTGAAAAGTAATCTGTAAACTGGAACTATTTCCTCCATTTTAAAGAAAAATGTCCATTCATTTTAGCCTTAAAATATTTATCATTCAATAATATTGAGGTATTTTAATTTTTCTTATTAGGGAAACATTTTCTATGTTAAAGTCTTCTAGCAAATTAGTGTTTATATGCCTCTTACACAGCAGGCTTTTTTTTTTTTTTTGCTTACTCTGGGCAGTTATGGCACAATTCTCAGAGGATTGGAAAGTGTGGTCTTTCTCTATTTCTTGCAATTTCAAGGCTATTGCTCTTTGGAGTTTGAAGTGGCTATTATTTACACATTAAAAAAAAAGCAGCTTGTTCATGGTTCTGTAATACTAAGTGTGCTAACTAATATAATTAGACAGAAATAAGAGGTGCACATTTTTTTAACCAATATGCATTTTTTTTTGCACTACACAGATTTTTTAAAARACACGATATTAGCAACTTTTAAAGTATACTGATGACTATTGCTTTGTCAAAGTTTAGAAAATGCTTGGCATTCTTCAAGCAGTGCCTCAGTAATTAACTCTTTAAATATTAATCCACTTAAAGCAAGAAAAGGCCATTAGTGGTGGGAATTACTTCAACAAGCTCTATCAAAATCTAGGTAACGGTTCATCTTACTGGTAAGGCACATTGATTTTCAGCTCAATCATTCTTGGAAATACTTTGAAAGTTCCRCTTACCCAAGTACCCTGCAAGGGACCTTTAAAAAAAGGCCATTAGGACTATATTTACTTATGCTATTTCTCCTGGCAGCTTTGTTTGCCACCAACTTATAAAAAGCCCATATGTAAACAGATTTAAGATCCCAGCTTGGGAGATAATTTGGGAGGGATGTGTGGGAAAAGGGGAGATGGGAAGAGATTGTCATTAGCAAGAACAATTTAGGATCTGACTTTGTTTCCTATCTCTCCCCTTACAGCCTGATTCTTTAAAAGCTCTACCAGCAATTCTGTTAATTTCTATTAAAAGTTCATGGGAGTGAGAAAATAACTGCTTCAAAAAATGCAGYACCTATGTCAAGTAAAAGGCTCTCAAGCATTCCAGAACCTATTCCGTTGGATGGCCTTTTTTTCCAAACATCAGACCTAGCTAGATGCATGGAGCTGGACTTAGGTCATCGTGGAGCAGCAAACACGCTGGCAGACTTTGGGAAGGAGTGAGGAGATGGTTATAGCAGCAGATATTATAGAATGAGAGGTACAGGGGCCCTGAGGAGGAAAACACAGAATGGGGGCTAGATGCAGAAAGGAGCATGAACACTCTTTAGCTTTGACACATCACAGACACTAAAAAGAAGGAAAAAGTCTCTTTTCTCTTACTGGCCACTTTGCCTGGATCTCAGTGCTTGGGTCCATAAACCAAATCTATTATTATAGATTCAGTCATGTCATTATAATTCAGTCATGAATGGACTTTTCTGGATTCACTTGGAAATCTAGCACTGGGTGATATTTATGTAGGGAAATATGAGTTTTGAACAACCAAATTACAAGTAAATTAATTATTTGAGGATTATCTAAATGGAACTGTCCTTACAAAAGTTGGCTTTTTTTTTTTTTTTTTTTTTTTTGTATTGGGGACTGAACTCAGGGGCGCTTGGCCACATCCCCAGCCCTATTTTGTTTTTTATTTAGAGACAGGATCTCACTTAGTTTAAGCTAGCTCTTTGAACTTGCAATTTTCTTGTCTCAGCCTTGAGAGCCACAGAGATTACAGGAGTGCACGACCACACCTGGCCAAGAGTTGACTTTTGACTTCTCTGGGAATGGAATGTGTCATCCAGAGCCCTAGGTTAACCTACTACTTGTCTCTTGACTATTTTCATTTCKTCCTGGATGCCTACAAAAGTTAAGTGAAGGATAAAAAGAGAAGGATGCATTTAAACCAATTTCACTATTTGGAATTCTGATTCTTTTTCTATTTCCCTTTGATTCCCATTTCCATGACTAACCAAGGAATAAAGAGCTCTTCAGTTGCTTGCAGAGAAAGGTGCATATGGAATTGTGTGGCATTTTGAAACAAATGGCTAGGTGAAATTGCCCCAACTTTCCCCTTTTCCCTGGCCTAATTTTGAGCTTCCTCTGGGGGCTTCATGTATGCTGCATGTCTAATATCAGGGTCTAATATGATGAACTTTTTTTGGAGGGGAGGTACCAGGAACTAAATCCAGGGGGCCTTAACCACTGAGCCATTTCCCCAGCCCTTTTTATATTTTATTTAGAGTCAGGGTCTTGCTGAGTTGCTAAGTTGCTGAGGCTGGCTTCGAACTCTAGATCCTCCTGCCTCAGCCTCCCAAGCTGTTAGGATTCCAGGCATGCAGTTCCATACCCAACATATGTACTTATTTCTATGTTCCAGGCACACACTGCATGTGCAACCAGGGCACAGTATATTCTGCACGAATATCAATCCTACAACTTTATGCTATCTCTATTTCTTTGGATGTTTCTGAGACTAATTCCTGGGAATAAGATGATGCTCCTCAACCTTGACTGCTCATTGGAATCAACTGGGAAGCTTTATAAACTAAGATTGTGTCACAACCCCAGAGCTTATGACTTAATAAATTGGAGTGTGGGGAATTTTTAAAAGCACAACAGGAGATTCTAATTGTGCAGCCATGGTTAAAATCACTGCATATACTCAATCACTGTATGTAGAAACATACTGACTTTCATTGAATTTTAAATTTGATTTAGGTCAATCAACATTTATTGAGTGCCTACTCCATATAAGGCACAAAGGCAAACTTCTGACACAGTCCATATCAATGAGTAACTAAAATCTAGCACAAGCAAACAAAAGTGGGCTAGGGTCAGGGGAGAGAGCAGCAGGTGTCTAGAGTCTATGTTCTGTAGAAAACACTGTAGAAAGTAATCTCTTCCTCCAGACCCATGAAATTCACTACAAATTTTCAAAGATATTATTCTGTTTGATTGGGGCATGGGGAATCAGAAAATATTTCACAGAGGAAGTGGCATTTGAGATGAACTTTATGGAACAGGTAGTATTTCCAGAGGTGGAGACAGCCTCCAGGTAAAGGTCGGAGAGAGGCATGTGGATGGAAGGCAAAGTCTTGTGTGGTGTTTCCACTGTGCTGGGTGTTTTTTCTGGTGATGGGGTAAGCTTGAATACCCCGAGACAGAACAGCTGGTACCTACCTGAGTTGGCTCCAAGTAGCCATTGGGGATTYGAAAATTAGGGAATAATGTCAGTAGAGCAGGACTTTGGGGAGAATGAGGTGATGTTGGGGTCTGGGTTGGATTTGAGTAGGAAGAAGCCACAGTATTAGAGCCAAGAAGACCACTTAGAAGTCTTTTATGGTTGAAGTTAGAAATATTGAGGGAAATTAAGATAGTAATGAAAGTTGGAACTGGGTGACTGTAGGGGAATGGAAAGGAAAGCCTGAAAATAAGAGGAATAATAAATTAGGATGAATAGAATTTCTTGATTGGAAAAAGTAAGAAAAAAAACTTGAATGTTTCTTATTCTGATTGTGAGGAACGTGATGGTGCCATTACTAGAAATCATTAAGTTTGGTTGAGGAATGGTTTATGAAAGGGAAGATAATGAATCTGATTTTGGTTAYGTTGGAACTAAAATTTCTTATTCAAATGACTCTCATTGTCATTGAATTCTAATAGAATTATGAAAGCAGGGCACTGATGTGTTTAGCACAGTGGTTCTCAACAAAAGGGAAGCCGGTTGGGGTTGCTACAGCACCTAGGGTAGAAGCTAGGGATGCTGCTAAGTATCCTCCAATCCATAGTCAGTCCTCCTCCACAACGAATTATCAGACTCCCAAGGTCAATACTACCCAGGTTGAGAAACCCTAATTTAATATAATTCAATAGCTCAAATTTCAGGAATTTTTAGGTTTGTTATATTTTGAGTGAGGCAGCGCCACCTAGTGGCCAATCACAATACTTATCCTAGATCTCTGTTGAACACAATCAAAGAGGACTGATAAAAAAATAATTCAGAAAGCTAAGACATATAGAGTTGAGTACCCGCCCCCCCCCATGGGAGAATGTCTAGGGCTTACAAATGTGTATGCAATAGGGACATCAGGTGTGCAATCTAGAAACAATCTCTGAGTCAGAAAGTACTTCTTGGTTATGAGATTTCATAATAGAAGCCAATACAGAAATATTTTATGGGATATCCAAGATGCATTCTATTCCATTAAAGTTGCCTATATTTTACTACTGTTACTGCATAAATAAAAAAGGAAACAAAAACCTAATAATTCTGCTGAACATAGTTGACTGAAATCTTCATTTCTTACAGATGCAGATTATGGCATTTTTAAAATAGAAATCAAGACTGAAAAATAGAGATTTAAAAAGTTATGAAAAAATAGAATGAAGAGAACTAGAAACTTTTGTTTGCTAAAGAATAGATGTTTGCCTCAGGAAACATCCATTCTACATGCCTTAAACATTGGCCCTCCTACTAAATCGCAGGGTCTCTGAGGGCAGGACTGTGTCTTATTCATATGTTTGCATCTCCCACAGTATCTACCATGGTATCTTATATAGAGTAGACACACAAAGGATTTTTTTGAGTGAATGAATTTATTTTTATTCTGGAAATTTCTTGCCTTGGAGCAAAGAAAGTTTCAAGCCTTTCTAAGCAATTACTATCTCTAACTCAATTAAATAAGATGCCCGAAGAGGGGGCCTGACATAGAGAACACCAGAGATTTGAGCAAAGGGAATCAGTGGAAAATGTGCTGTGATGACCACTCTTTGGGCAGTTTTTGGACTGCTGTAGATTGTAGACTCCTGTGTCTAACAGATTTACTCATCCAGCAAGTATTTGTTGCGTGTCTACTTTGTGCTATGTTCTTTTCTAGGCACTAGGGATATCACTGGGATCTTAAGTCTAAAAATTCCTTAAATTGAGAGGCAAATTTTGAATAGGTGGATTAGAATAAAGATGCAAATTCCCCTTTCCCTCCACTTTTCTGGTTAGTGTAATATTTTCTATGTAGAAAATGCCATTTGATCAACGATCTCAAAGCAGCTCACAGCTATTAAAGATCTCTCGTTCCACAATCACGTCTTGGCTACTGTAAATGGAAAGCCAGCATTCTCCYATCACTTCTCTTCTTGTCTGCATCTCTTCCTTCCCTATTACCTTAGACACTTCCAGACTTTTGGGAGGGAGTAAGTACATACTGAGTGCTATTTTACAAGCAAATGATGAAGATGATTCTTGCACATTTTGCAAGTGGCAACTAAAGCTTGTAGTTTTTAAAGTGACCCCACAGAAGACTTTTTCCCCCTTGATTGGTTTATTAACAGCTTTTTAGTTTCAGAGTCTAGAGATGCAAAGTCAGAAAGAAGAAAAATCAATCACCATTTCAAACCAAATGGTGCAGACAGGCTGGTGGGTTCCTATTTTGGCCACAGAATAAATAAATGCACAGTGCAAYACTGAGTGTTCAGGTGAATTTTTTTCATGTCTCAAGCACCTTTTGGCACCTTATTATATGGCTCATGTACACCCAGGATATGCAAATCAAAAGTGTTTCACCACATGTGAGATTTGTATGATATGATCTCCTAATGCTAAGTGATTTAATGAGTTCATCAAAACTACTGCTATGAATGTAACTAATGAAAGGTGACAGCAACTTCCCCAGTTTTTTGATTGCTGGATGAATTAGTTATATTCTAAGGTCACTACTGTGTAACTCCTCTCAGCCCAGGCATATGGCCCCTAATTTCTCCTAGTAGGACCTAAACATTCCTAACATAATGGGGACAGGGAGCATGCTAGCCTTTCCCCAAAGTAGTAGATGGCTGCAGTATGACATCTTTGGTTCATCTCTATTGCTCACTTTTTTGTTGGAATCTTTAAAAGGCACAGCCCCACAGCTCCCGCGACCTCCTCATCTGAGACTACAAGAGTCCCCAGCCAACTTATTCAAAGCACTTCTTACCACAAGTCCAACAGCATGGGTACTCACTCAAATCCTGATGCTTAGAAACTGCTGTGACTGGCCCTTACTTCCCCCTCCACAGTCTGCCCCCTTACACAGCAGGCACCCAGACATCCTTAAAGTTCATCACTTTCCACTACACTCCGAGAAGAGCGTGAATACACCATTGTGCTTTCCATGGAGGAAAAGGCAGAAAAAATGTCAAGTCCTTTACTGGTGAGAGATCCGTAGCGACTGCCACTGGGCCGRATAGACATGGGTGCTGGGATCTGCTGGTGCCACTGAGCTGGAAAATGGAGCAAATAATGTGTTATGATCAAGGGCATACAGTCTGGCAGGTACCCCACAGAGGTACGTTCTGTCCTCACTCCAATGCTCCCTTTGAATTCTTGGTAAAGCATTTAAGGATATCTAGATCTGAATGATCTTATTTGTAAAAGAGAGCAATAAAACATTCCCTGCCATGAACAGGGAAATTGATCTGGTGATCTCTTAAGGCTCTAATTCTACAACCTGTGATTCTCACTCAGTAAGAGGTTAGAATTCCTGTAAGAAGGAAGAGTGGTTGACTACGGTGATTTCTCAAAATTATCCCCTCTCACTGACAAGCGTGGGGTCTGCTRGCGACTGTGTACAGGGGATTGTAGGCTCACAGAGGAGGGCACCTCATGAGGTTGAGGCAAGAAACTGTGGCCATAGAAGCCAAAAGATGGGTTCAACCCTGTGGGAAGTACCCATCCTACACCCTAACCACCCTAAACAGCCATTACCTATCTACCCACCCAGAACCCTAATCAGGTTCAATGAGTTAAAGCAAGAAGACTAAAAAGTAGCTTATATGCAATCAAGCATGGTTCATGGACAAAAGAGAATTGATTTGAGTTTCCATATTCACCAGGTGCTATTCAAAGGAGATCTTGTTTTTAGCAGACTCCATCCTTAGGCTTGAACATGACCYGAATAAAATACCTATCCCCACTGTGCAGTCTCTGCTATTATCTCTGATTCAGAAATTACCAAGTGCTGGGTACAGTGATGCATGCCTGTATTCCCAGCAACTCAGGAGGCTGAGGCAGGAGGATTGCAAGTTCAAGACCATCCTCAGCAAATAAGTGAGACCCTGTCTTGAAATAAAAAAGGGCTGGGGATGGGCTGGGGTTGTAGCTCAGTGGTAGAGCACTTGCCTAGCATGTGTGAGGCACTGGGTTCAATTCTCAGCGTCACATAAAAATAAATAAATAAAAATAAAGGTATTGTGTTCATCTACAACTGAAAAAAAAATATTTTTTTAAAAAGAAAAAAGCTAGGGATGAGGCTCAGTGGTCAAGTGGCCTTGAGTTCAATCCCTAGTACCAAAAAGAAAAAAAATTACCAAGCAATCTCCTGATAGGTTTCTGGGTACCTTGATATGGAAAAGTGGGTATACTAGGTGGGGAACACTGGGGTTCTGGGTCTTAGGAAGCTGTGCTCCTGTTTAGCATTCTGATTTATAAATTGGTCCTTTGTTGATTTCATTATCTGTAATCAGTTTYTCAGTCTTAAGTTCCTCTGAGTGGAGAGAATCAAATTTGTAAAGCCATAACACTGAAGGCAAAACTTACAGCAATTCCACTTTAAGAGCATCTCTTATCCTTACCCTGATAACTCTGGCATCTTAACTGGACAGTAATTCCTAATTTTAGGATTTATTTCTGGTGCTGRGGATTGAACTCAGGGCCTTAGACATACCAGGCATGTACTCTACCACTGAGCTACACCCCAGCAGCACTTGAGATGAGAGTGGAGCCTTACTATTCCATTTCTTAGAAGTGTGGTGGTGGTGGTAGAGGAGGAGGTGATAGTGAAATTATTCTAGTCTAAGGCCTCCATCATCTTTCCCACCCCAGATCCCAACAGACCCAACAGCACCTCCTATTGTTAGTGCCGTGAAGGACAGGAAAGAGGCTAGCTGGGAACTCAGCCACTGGAGGGCAGTGTTGATTTAAGTCATCCATTTCAGGGTTTACCAGTTGGAGGCCTATTGCCTTCAGACCTGGAGGAAACGCCTAGATCAAGAAACCTATCATTGGCATCTTTCTCCTTGGACGTTTTTAGCTTCCTTCACAATTGATTTTCTTTCCCCTTTCCTTTTTTTTTTTGATGAGATGAGGGGCGAGTACCGGGTATTGAACTCAGGGGCACTCGACCACTGAGCCCCATCCCCAGCCCTATTTTGTATTTTATTTAGAGACAGGCTCTCACTGAGTTGCTCAGTGCCTTGCTTTTGCTGAGACTGGCTTTGAACTCATGATCCTCTTGCCTCAGCCTCCCCAACTGCTGGGATTTCAGGTATGYGCCACTGAGCCTGGCCACAATTGATTTTCATTTCAAGTCAGAAAAAAATAATACAGATCTATATCTTTCCTCTAAAAATGAGACCTAGGGAAAATGGCAGGTCAAACCCCTTTCTGCATGGTACTAAATAAAGGGGATACCTGTTGTTCACCTGTAAACAGCAGGGCTCTCAGGTTCTAAATAGAACTGCTGTTGTTATTCTGATTAATCATGTTAAACAAGTTACGAATGTGAAATTTATTGGTTTAACCAATTATTTAAACAAAAAAAAAAAAGAAAAAGAAAAAAGAAGCACTCTTTTGGATTAAAGACCATGACTCTAAAACATACCAGTTAATKTCAAAGAGATTAAGGAAGGGGAATAGAGCACACAAAAACATTAATAAAGATTAATTTCTTAGATCCTTTGAAAATGAGAAACATGGCTCAAAGGATTGATAACGAAGACCTGGGTTTGCTTCTTAGCTGTAGTCGCTAAACTCTCTGAGTCTCCGTTTTCTCAGCATTTAAATAAGGGTAACAACAATTATAATAATTTCATGAGCCTGGGAGGACCAAGGATACCACTTTCATTAATTATGTCACTATTCAAATGTCACTTGAGTTTAATATTATTAATTTACTTCCACTTAATAGGGAACTCTGATTGGGGAATTGGAGCAATACACATTAGTTGAATGCATAAATAAATGAATGATGGCATCTAGAAAATTCTCCTGGGTGATCACGGTAGTAGGGAGTTCCTGTGGGTGACCCACTGCAGAAGGAGACAGCATGAAGACACTAGATGGCTAAGAATGCTTGGCTGCACATTAGAATCTCAGGTCACACCTCAGGTAGGTGCACATTGTGGGCTAGCTGAAGTCTTCCTAGGATCAGAATTCCTCTTTTGGAAGAAGGTTAAGTTCATGGCAAAACACAGAAGTGTACAAAARCCCTGAGGTACCTAGTACCAGATGACTTTAAAAATCCATCTCTTAAGCACTAAAATCTACCCAATTCTTTTATGGACACTTACTAATCCTAAAAAAAAAAAAAAAAAAAATGATCTTAAAGCTGCCTGTCACACACAGATGTTCAACCAATGGATGACATTATACTTACCGTATATATCCAACCTAGCAGTGCACGACACTATGCCAGCTTCGTTTTTGGCTGACAGCGTGTACCATCCAGCATCTGATTTCTTGGCTGGCTGAATGAGGAGGCAGACATATCCTGTTGTGTCCTGGTGCATGCTGGAGAAGAGAAAGAACATACCCATATTTTAAGTAGGAGCAGAAGCATCTCTGTCAAATTTAGGGAAACTCACTCTCTAAAGGGGAAAAAACAAAGGAAATTCTGTTGAAGACAAGCACAAAGCAAATCTGAAGTTTAAAAGAAACTACAAAAGACCAGCAATGAACCTTATAATGAACCTTATAATGCTTAGAAGAAGGTGACAGYCATCCAAGATGCTGTGACCAGTGTCTGTATGTTCCATTGCTCCAGCTCCACCAAAGTTTTCCTTCCTATCAGGGGGAACCCTGATTTTGCAACCGAAGTACAGAATGATCTCTTTTCTAAATAAGATTGGAAATTTCAGTGAGAACTTTGTTAAGAAGCTGCAGGAAAGCAAATCAAAACAAGATCCCAGGGGCAAATCTATCTACAGCCTGGAGATGGCATTTCCTAATGTGACCAGAGGGAATGTATGCAGAATTTAGCTTAATGTGATTGAGGAAATCAGCCTGCTTTTTCCTTCTGTTTTCTGTACATCAGTAGTTTTCAACCTTGGCTGCACATTAGAATCTCAGGCCACACCTCAGGGAATTACATCAGAACCTCAGGCTAGGATCCAAGCATTAGGATTTTTAAGAAATTCCCCAGGTGATTTTGATCTKCGGCCAAGGATGGAGGACCAACCACGTGGCTACATGGCCCTTTTACCCCTTATTGTTCTGGCCTCTTTCATACTCTGTTCCAAGATCCCTTCAGAGACTGCCACAGCTCATTTACCAGGCAGAGATAATACCAATAACTTCTTGAGTTTGAAGAATAAACAAGTGTGTCTCTTTGGTTGAAAGCTATTTATTATTTGTAAAATAATAAGACTAAATAAAGTCATAACAAGTATAACAAGTATCACAATTTCACCACCTTATTATGTTGGCTACCTTCACTTTCTGATTAATGAATTCATTCTTGGAATATTTCTTTATTAAACTCTTGTTGAATACTCTGTTGGGCAGGGCCAAGTGGCTCATGCCTGTTATCCCAGTGGCTCTGAGGCTGAGGTAGGAGGATCACAAGTTCAAAGCCAGCCTGAGCAATTTTAGTGAGGTTCTAAGCAACTTAGAGAGACCCTGAATCTAAATAAAATACAAAAAGGTCTGGAATGTGGCTCAGTGGTTGAGTGC